TGTTATTGAAGTGTTTAGGTCGCTCTGAAGTCATTAGATGTATTTTAGATTGAACACTGAACTGTAAGGGACATGGTTACAGATTTAGAGAGCAGTAACACTGTGAATTTGCAGGAAGACAACTTATGAACAAACAAAATTCATGAGAACAGTTTAGGAAATGGCCTGGCAAAGGATCTCAAGTTGGATTTTCCTCTCATCTGACAGTGATTACTTTGAATCCATTTGGCCCATCTTGAATGCAACTGAATTTTTTTCCCAATTTACTAGATGCCTTATATGAAACGAGTTTGACCAGCCCAGTCCCATTTCCCAGGTGACAAATGGGCTATCGCAAAAATTCCCCGTTTAGTGGGTGCTAAGTTTTGTTCACAGTCTCACGGGAGAGGCCAAAGACTGTGGGAATGGGGAGAGAGGGCTGTGGTAAATTGGCAGGGCAGTGCAGGAGGAGGAAGCACGTCCGAATGCTGGGCTTGTGTAACAGTCTTTCCATTGACCAGGAATTTGGTTGCTAGGCTGCCAGTCCCCTTTTACAAGCAGCAGAGTCATGCTATTGTTTCCTAAATGGTTTCAATTTTATGCAGGGACCTCTTTACATCCCTTCTATATCATTTAAATATTTTACTAGGCACGTATTAAAGTGAGGTTTGGAACTCAGACCCCTGCTCTGCTCAAGCCTGTAAGCAGAAGAAAGCCCTTCTCTTTTATTCTGCCAAAAAGTGAGTATTTCAGGGTAACCGTGTGAAAAGTGGCCTCTTGTTGGCCTTCCAGCGGGGCAGCCAGCGTGCAGGCCTGAGGGGAGGAGAGCATTGTGCTGCGGGAGTTCCTGTTCCCAGGTAGAAACACTGACCCTGTCACCTAAGTGGGTGCTGCAACCACTGGGCAGTAGAGAAGTGGGACAGGAGAGCAGGAGAAGCTCTGCGGGACAGCAGTGTTTGGTTGAATTTCAGCCCCTCTGTGGATTTACTAGAGACTTGAGGTCATCATCCTTTAGATTTGGGCACCTCCAGTAAGGACAAAACGAGGCTTAGACAGATGATACAGTTTGACGTTGCAGTTCCTCTCTCAGCAGGGACAGTAGGAGGTTGGTGGACAGGGAGGCTCTAAGCAGGCTTTGCTCCTGAAGAAAACGAATGTGGAAAAACACCTCTCAACCTATATGGCCATTTGTGTTTCTTGCCTTGAGAGTATTTCTAGGAGGTAAAATTGAACTGCTCATTCATCCGACTTGATCATTCCTACAGTTTAGAGGATGAACTGTTTGAGAGCACTTTATTAGCAGAAAAATGTGTTTATTTTCTGAGAAACCACAATCTCAACAGTAAAAAAAGAAGCTTATCTTCAAGTTTTCTGGAGGACAATTTAAGTCACAACATGCTAAAGAGGCAAATACACTTATTTTCTAAATTCTGTATCTTGGCTTTCAAGACCTTCTCTGGCTATTTGCAGTCTTCTGGACTTACACAAATAATTGTAGTATTCTCTCATCAGAGCACCACCAGAAAGAAGTGGACATGAGAGAGGGTTTTCCTTTGCCAAGCACAATGTTTCTGTCACTAAAATAGCTAAGAACTTTAGCCTGTGATTTATATACAAGTTTACTTCCCATTTGAAATCGCTTCCTTTTGTTTGTCTCCTAGCTTATGATTTATGCTAAACAGCATTGTGCTTTGAGGCAATGGAAGCACATAAAGTAGATGTCCATCAGTAGGGACAGCTTGCCAGTATAGCTCTTCCTACCTAGGAAGAGGGACCTCTTGTACCTCTTTGCAGGTACATGTGTTGAAGTAACCCAAATGTTCCTCCCCAGGATTATTCTGACTTGTTATCTGGAAATGTTCTGTGTCCTGAGGTTTAATACAGTGATAACTGTTCCCCATATGTGGAAAGAAAACATCTCCTTATGGGTCTTCTAGTTTCAGTGGAAAATTAGTCATTTGGAGGAAACAAGAAATCATGAATTATACAGGCCTGCAGTTTCATCTCCTTCCCTGTACATTTATCCTGAAAGAGCTTCAGAGAGGTTAATTGGGGTTTTCAAATCCCAAGGTTGATGGGAAGTTAGGACATAACTACCCTGATGTGGGGTAGTTGCACTGCAGAATCTTTCTGTGCTGAGGCTTTGTCTCTGACCAAATAAAAGGAAATTTCCCTCCAGTTTATTATTAGCACAAGGCCTCCTTTTTTTTTTTTTTTTTTTTTTTTTTTTTTTTTTTTCTCCAGTGCTTCCTAGCAACCTGAGTGTCTGTTTGTTAGTTTTCTTTTCACAAACTGTTATCATAAATCCATGGAAACAGAATACTTGGTGAAGTAGGCGATACCCTTGAAAAGATAATGACAGAGCCCTGGCCAAACCCAGAAAAGGCAGAAGGCACCTTGCCATGCTACTGTCATCCATGTCCTGAATGCCCACAAAGGGGAACATGAAGGGGTAGGTGCCACCCAACCTGTCCCACAGGCTGGCAACCCTTTCCTCGACCTGCAGCGAGGGGCCTCTCTGTTCAGGGTTTCCAGGGCTCTGCTCTGTGCTCTGGAGCTTAGAGTGTCACAGCTGTCCTTTAAAGATGGCAAAGTGAATAACTGGACGTGGTCTTGGGGCCCCTTCTCTAGTTGGTGCAGCTAGAGGAGGGGGTTGGAGCAGATGGCCTCCAGAGGGCCCTGGCAGCCTCAGCCGTTCAGTGGTTCTGTGAATAAGGACCTTCAAACCTTCAAAGCTCTGTCTGAATTTGGACACCTTCCCCTTTCTCAATTGGGGTGTCAGGCCTTTGTTCACCTGCTTCCTGACATCTCTCCTGATGGCTCTTAGGGGACCCAAGCCTTCAACATCCAGAAACCTCTCTTAACTGGCGAGTTTTAAAATGCTTCAGGGACTTTCTCATTCCCTCCTGCTAACATTGCTCCACTTCAGTCGTCAATGATTAAAGACTAATGAGGCTGGAAGGAAAGTATGCACAGCCGTGTGTAACTGGACAGGGGCTAACGTACTCACTGGGAAGGGCAGTTTGGTCCCTCTGTCAGCTTTACTGGCACTAAATCACCACACCGGAGTTGCCTCTGTTTGCTTTACCTGTCAATGTTTAATTATGCCATGTGGGGCTCGACAGCTGCAACAGGAGAGAATGAATTCACCCTCCTTCCTCCCCCTTTCCCCCCTCCCTTAGCCGAGGCTCCCAGGTGGGTCTGTTCCTGAGAAGTGGGGGTTTGGAGCTCCCTGTGCTCAGCACTAAAATGAACCAAGGTTTCAGCATGGTTGTGTCCGTGGCCCTTGGTGCACAGGGCAAAAAGGTGCTGCCTCCTTTGTCCCCATATTTTCAGTGTTCCCCATAAGCATGCCTGCGGTGTGGAGCTGGCAATGGGACACCGAGTTCATGCCTTGAGACAACACAGACATGGCCAGGAAACGGAGGCCAAGGTCCTCAGGTGCCATTTAGTGGGTTCAGCAGTAGGTACTAACCAGAAGAGGTAGGTGCCAACAAGAAGAGTCGACCATTTATTTTAGGAACCCAGTGTAGTCATTGTCTGCTGATTGTAGTGAGGTGACGGGACAGAGAGGTTTCCTACTCTCTGCCTTGCCAGAGCATATAATGGTTATTGCATTCATTCACCACGGAGGGAAAAAAACATTTCTCAGACTAGAAGCACTAGCCTCATAGTAACAAAGACACTAAGATAACTGTTATTTTTACAGGAATATAAAAAATGATATGTTCTTGAAACTAAAACTTTCCTAAAATATCATTTTTTTCTTTTCCGAGAGTGGTATATTCCCAGGACGTGAGGCAGGGAGGTGGACAGGCTCTCTTGGCACTCCTTGTGACTGGCCTGCATAATTCACTTGTAGTTTTGACATCTGTGAGCGATGCACCCTTCCCACACTCATGCTGAAAAAACTTTAATACCATTCCAGTCTGTTATTTGTATCTTGCAGACAGAGTGACATGTAAAGCTTTTACTTAAGGTTACAAAACTGTTGTACAGGGTAAGCCCCTACAGTTAGCTGTTTATAATTCACCTAGTTCTCAATTGGGTGGCATGATCTTTGCCTCAAGCTCATTTTTTATTTATTTTCATGTTACTCTATTTTATTAAGAAAAGATTAAATGGTCTTTGTCATTTCCTGAGATTATTTCCTTGCTCATTTCAAAAGCAGATGGTTTTGTAGAGCTGTGATGTCTCTGTGGTATTGGGTAAAGATTTAAGATTTGCTACAGGGATAATATAGACTGCCATTACGAACACTGGAAAAGCATGAAGCTTTGGCCAGTTCATAAATCCTAAACAGTCATTGCTTGTATAGGGGCTGGATTTGCAAGAAATTTTTCCTAAAATATCCAAACTTTTCCTTAGCTCTTAATTTGCTTCCCAAGCTCACATGCTTGAATATCTGAAAGGCAAGCAAAAGAAAAATTGGTGCATGTACCCTTCTGCTTTGTATCCCTTTAGGCTTGTGAGAGATATGCCCTCCAGGCAAACCAAGGAGCTCCCTTTTTTTTTTTTTTTAAGCAAACTAAACTGAGAAAACTTTATTTAAAAAGCTACTTGAAGACAACCTGTAGTCACAAAGTCAGGCAGGGGGCTACTAGGAAATACTTGACTAGAGGCTGTCTGAGAAATAATAATTCAGTACACTTGTGCTTCTTCTTTTACTCATCCCTTTACTGCAGTCAGTAAACAGCATGGACAGGGAATAAGTGAAAAAATACATGAAGACTAATGATGTTCCCTGGCTTTACTTTCAACCCAGATAAAAACCCACTGCATTCAAATGTAATGACAGGCAGGAATAGAATAATTAATGCCTGCAGGGACTACATTTGCTTGACACAGATTGTGTTTACTCTGATATCTCCCAAAGTTTTATATTTGCATTGGCAGCCCAGCATTCTTCTCATTTATGCTATTTTTGTGTATGCAGTCTGTACATATGAAATGCCCCTATTTTCCCTCTTTCCCTTGTTGGTTAGCACGTTGGCTTATGGTACTGATTTGCCATGTTACAGGCAAGAGAGGATGTGATCCACATGCTGAAGACAGAGAAAACCAAACCTGAAGTTTTAGAAGCTCATTACGGGTCTGCCGCTCCAGAGAGTGTGCTGCGAGTGCTACACAGAGATGCCATCCTTGCCCAAGAAAAATCTATAGGGGAAGACGTCTATGAGAAACCAATTTCAGAGGTAATAACTTCTTGATTTGCATCTACAAGTCTGTGCAGGGGGAATCCTAACCAAAAGGGAAACTCTGTGTATTTTGCATGTATGCAAAGCTCACAAGAGGATAATACAACTCTTGTGCAAATTACACAAAATTGAAGAAAAATTGAATATACTTGTTCTCTCAACCATCAGAATAAACTGTAAGCAAAATCATAGGGTCTGAACACAAACAATATGGACCTTGTATGCTCCTTAGGGCTGGTGCAGGTAAATGAGAACAAAATATTTGGGTGTTGCTTTTTTGTTTTCTAAATTTCGTTTCAATTATAAGCTCCAACCTCTATTGCTTACAGCACTGCTAAGTGCTCTGTGACTTTCTTGGCATACTAAAGCTCTATCACAGCAGTAGTTAGGGAAAGAAGACCAACAGAGATTGACTTTGACTATATTTAAAGGATCACAAATCCCTAATCATTTTATGTCTCTTCAGTTCCAGGGCTGTGAAGTCAGTTCAGCCCCTAAAGGAGATCTGCAGGACATTAAACCAAAGATTTAAACCCTTGGTTTAAAATCTAAGCAATAAATAAATGTAGAATAGACCTGGGAATGTCTGAGGCCAGTGTGAACGCCAAAATAAGCAACCACTGCTTATGGTTATAGTTTCTTAACAGTCCAGGGCATGGAGAAAGAGCACGCAATAACATACCGTACAGTGCACTGTAGCATCTGTCCAACTCTTCATAGTTCCTTGGTTCAGAACATTTACTGTTTAACCAGGAATTGTGTCTACCACAGGTTATCTTTATACTCTGCACCCCTATTGCAGTATCTTCTGGGATTTTAGGGGGGTGATAGAAAATAAGGAAAGCAGACATTAGCATCTGGGAACATGCATGAAATACTGGCTATCAAGAGTAAAAGAACTTAGCAGGTCTTTTGTCTAAAGAAGATGATAATTTGACAGGGACCTCAGTCTACAGTAACTTCTGTCGTGTCTAGGTCCGCAGAGGTTATGTGGGAGCTAAAATAGGATGGTGCAAAAGATTTACTCTCAAAGGCTGCACCCAACCTGGTTCCTTTACAAAATGGATCGCCTCTTTTTGACTGTCGTTGTCAGCTTCTGGAGGGCTGCTTGAGAGTAGCTGCAGCCTTACTGCTCTCCTATTTCCCCCAGTTTGCAGAGGCACCCTGTGAAACAGCAGCTTTCTGGTGAAGCTGGGGCAGAGGGAGATGCAACTCCCACAGGGGCTGGGCACCAGGTGGGGAGAGCACACTACATTCAGACTTTTTATCTCAGCAGTCCTACAGGTACAACTGTGTTGACGATTGAAGTTCAAATTTCAGCCTTGAGCTTATATTTTGCTACTCACATAGGTGCCCATGTCCCTAGTAGAGGTACTTGAACTTGGGGATCCTAGGGTCTGAGAGCATGTATTCCTCCTGGGGATTTGTTACTGCTTTTCCCACGTGAAATGAGGAGAGTGTATGCAGCACCTTGTCACGGGAGGCATTCTGCACTGCAGCAATATTGTTTGTTACCCTAAAACCACATGAATTCCTGTCCTTTGTGTATCCAAGAATGATGTAAATGTTTATTGCAAATGCGTTGTCCAAAAAAATTATTTTTACAGGACAGTTACTCCTATTTTTAGGCACTGCTTTATGTGAAGTGCAGGATGTAAAATTCTGGGACTTGCATTTACCGAACATGACACTGTTTGTTAATAAATCAGATGAAGTAAGCAAGGAAACCTCTAAAATAACCTATTCTCCTTTCCTACAACCCAGCTGGACAGGCTTGAAGAAAAGCAGAAGGAGACATATCGACGCATGCTGGAACAGCTTCTTTTGGCAGAAAAATGCCATCGCCGCACAGTTTATGAGCTTGAAAACGAGAAGCATAAACATACAGATTACATGAACAAGAGCGATGACTTTACCAACCTCTTGGAGCAGGAGCGGGAAAGGTGAGTACCAATGACAGTGCAAAGAATACCCTCGATACCCCAGTATTTTTCAGTTCAGCAGTGACATCGTCTGGTCTTTCCTGCATTTAAATGGCAATAAACTCATGTAAACCATTGGTAAAAGTCAGTCCTCTCATGTTAGTAGTACATTACTGTGCAAGTCTAGGGCTGGAAGAACACCATTGAACATTCCTGCAGTGTGCGCTTGAATTTAAAAATGAATTTGTTTTGACTTACTCATGCCCATTTTGGGTTCATCTCTTGATAGCTTTTGAGAGATCAGATGTTATTTATGTTGGCTAAGGTTTGAGCTGGCTTGCTCCGCTGAGTGCTGCATTTTGTGAAGGACAGGGCACTGTGTCACTGTGGGAGGAATGGGTAAGGAAAACAACCCATTTGGTTGTTGGCACACAAATGGTAGGGAATTTGCCATGCCCTTCACATTTAGGCTTGGAAAGTCACTAACAAAATAATTTGCATTATTTTTCATATTTCTGAATGGGTTTACCTCAGGCAAGATCTACATCCCCCTGGAAGAAAATATTTTCATGTTTTATAAAATGTGCCCAGCCTGTGACGGACTACCTGAAGGTCTTCATCTAACAGGCTCAATGCTAAATTTTTTTCCCTTCAAGTGTTTGTCCTCATTGTAGGAGTAATTTGTCCTCTAAGTCAAAAGAGGACACCTTTTGCAGCACATAGCTTAGGTGAAAAACGAGCACTCGGCAACAGTCTGAGTTTTGCAATATGAAATGTCATGCTCATACCAAACTACTTGAAATCAAACCACAAAGTTTGGTGGAAAAAAAAAAAAAAAAAGCTCTGGGAAGAATACTTAAGGCAAGTTCAAAGAAGAAATGCTTTTGAGGAAACCACAGTCTGGTGGCAGACATTTTCAAAAAGCCAGGAGCTAAATTGTTTAGTGAATTTCCTGAGCTCTGTTCAGTGCCAGCTTTGAGTAGGTGGCACATGAGCTAAAGTGACCATATTTCCTTGTTTAATAGCTGCTGTTTTTCTGGCTCTTTGTCTTCCTGTGTTCACTGGCAAACTTTAAAGAACGAAAATGTGTCTGCATATTAACAATTTTATTCCCTTAAGAGAAAATAAAAAATCTGTTGTATTTGCAAGTAAGGAGTAATTTCATGTCTGATTCTCTTAGACGTCATTTTTTCTCAATGATGAATATCTGTGCATGTGTGGAGATGCAGGCAACTGAATTGCTACAAAAGTAAAGGCTATATTAAAATACCATTCACATTTCTTTTTACTTTTTAAATTCACTTTAATTTATCAGTTGCTGCCTTCTTATTATTCCAGCTGAACTCCTGAAGGCCACTAAACAGCCTGAGTTTATAAACTGTTTGCTTTGAACCAATTTCCTTTAATGAATTGATTTAAAAGATTTCTGTCTCACATTACTATAGCTGGCATATCAACTCCTGTCCCAGGGGCGTTTTCGTATACTCTTCCTGCTGTTCTGTGTCTTTGAAGCTCCAGTTTTCCTATACCCTACAATTTTTGGAAAAACAGAAATAAAAAAATAAAAAGGGGGAATTTGAGTTTGAACTTGTGTTGAAATCTTTGAGAATAACCAAATCCTCTAGCTTTAATCAATGGTACCTCTGTACTGGTGGTTGCAGGTGAAGAGCTGCAGTGCGTTTGGGTTATGCTGAGTGACCAGAGAAACCTGGTGTTTGCTATTTAATCCACTTTGTCCAAGGCATTAATGAGAAAAATCACATCACGTTTAGTAGCAACCAAGTGGAGAGGACATGGCACATGACTAAACATGGAAAACCAGCATGCAGAACCCTCCCTCTCTAGGCTGCTCCTCCTTCATCCCTTACAGAGCGGGTTAGAAAAGCCAGGATGGCCTGGAAACCACTCACTAGCATATATTTTGAATGACCTCAACTCCTCATCTTTGTTTGCCGAGTGCACATAAAACTCAGGATTTGCCCGCATCTTCGTAGGTTTTGAAAACTGGAAGTAGTGTGGTTCAAAGGCTGTGTTCCAGGACAGAGCAGATGATGGGATGACTTCTCAGGAAAGCCCTGTAATGGCAGCCAGCAAGAGATTTTTGTCAAAATGACAGCGTTTGCAATAGAAAGATTAAATTGTGATAGGTTAATATATATATGTGTGTGTGTATATATATATATATATATATATATATATATATATATAAACACAACACCATGCTCACTTAACGTGCATAGTGGGACAGAGAACTGGCCTGCCTAAAGGCAGTTCATAGGCTCCTGCCTAGCATTCTTGTTTTATAAGTATCACCATATACATATTTTTTTTATTGTTGTGCTTTGAGGCCCAAGGGTTACTTTGTTAAGAGCTGAGCAGACTTGTAGTCGCCATGAAAAAAGAAAGGGACACTGAGGTGAACTTTGCCCGTCAGCCGCTCTGCTGCACTCGCAGTTATAACGTTAATGAGACAGGGTGAGCGGGAGGAAGAACAGTCCTGTGGGACAGCCATTTCACAGCCGTCTGGTACAATGAGAGCAGCCATAATTTCTGTCCTGTTTGCAAGGAAGAATTTCTGCCCCTGCAGTGTTTTACCAATCTTTCCTCACTAGTGTTGTCCACACCAGCTTTTAGAAGCCACATCTGCTTTGCTGTCCTGTGGGAGTTCAAACGAGATAAAATGGGGAATTCTCTAAGAACAGAAATATCCCTTGGTTCTAATGCATTTCCAGCACTCTCATAATGCATTTACTTTGGAATAATTATTTGCATATACTTTCACACATGAAGTCTAATCCATCCACAACAACATAATATGAAAGCTAATAGTCTCTATGTGAAACTAATTATGAGTCCAGCCTTGCACAGTGAGAAAGAAGTGAGAGAAAAGCATGATTTGTCAAGAATAATTATGCATGAAAGGTATAAAAAAGAGAAAATTGTACACAAGGATATTTGAAATGTAGACAGCTAGGAGGAGCAAAATGAAGCAGCGAGGAGGGCCTGGCTGTTGGTGTTGGCTCTGCAAGTAAACTGTGGAAAGGCTGTAGGAAAATGTCAACACGTTACAGGACAATGGTAGAAAATAATGACAACCCTTTTCCAGATAGATAGAGATTAACAAAATCTGATACCTTTACAGGAAGGTGCTTCTGTAAACATGGTGGCTGACATGTTTTGCAAATTTCCCTATAGTATGCTAAAATCACTGCATAAAGATGAGTATGTCTTGAAAGTTAAGGACAGTATTTTCAATTTTTACCAAAATTGACCAAAATTACCCTTTTCGACACCTGTATACCTCAGCCGCTCTCTCCATACCATCAAGATCTTCTTTGTCATTTTACTTCCCCTCCCCAGGACTGCAAATCAGCCCTCTCCCTGCAGCCTCATGACTAGGCTGAGGAATAAGAAGAGCTGGAGCCCCCCAGGCCTTCACAGAGACCTTTAGTGGCAGACGGTGGGGTGAGGGGTCTCTGAGGATGAGGGGTCTGTGTGGAGCTGCACTGACAACGTGGCTTGGACACCTGAAGATCAGGAGATCCCACAGCAGCTGGAATGGTGAAGTTAGTCCTTTCAGCACAGGCACCCCTCTTGTTTTTTGGTGGCACATTAGGAAATGAGCTGGTGGCATGAGTTTGGTCACTGGGTGATCTGGCTGCAGCTGAACCAGCTATGGGCACTTCCATATCCCCCAGAATTCTTGTGCAAAACTGGGTCAACATGAAGTTAAATTTGGTTGTTCTCTGGGTTGCTGAGTCCCAGCCCTCAGGCCTCTTTAGGGAACTGTAGGGGAAGAAAAAGTAAATCTTTAGGATCGAGTATAAGCGTTTTTGTCTGATCAGCAGCCCTTTTCCCCCCTTTCCAGGGGGGAAGAGCTCTGCATAACCTCGGCACTGCTTCAAGCTCTTGATTCGACCTGAAAGGTGAGGTTTGAAATCCTGACGTTTTCAGAGGTGCTAATCTCTGAACAATTTGTCTTGTACTCTTCTTCTAATCCAGTTTGTTGACAGCATATTTTGCTTCTATTAAAAGCACTGGAAAGCTCCTATTGATTTTAATGGTTCAGAAACAGGCCTGTGGTGAGGACGGCTGCGGCGGTCCTGCGGGATGGCAGAAATAGCCTGTAAGTCTTCCAAATGTGAGGGGGGTGTTCTTTCAGATGCAGGGGACATTGTTTGCTGCATACATGGTGCGATGTGGCAGCAAGGCTTTGTTGGAGCTTGCTGAGGGTGATCTGTGCGACAGCTTTGTGAGTCATTTGATCATTTCCAGCATGATCCTTGAGACTGCTGAGACTTTTACTGCACCACACAGCGTGTCAGTAAATCACACCAAGTATCTAATGTAAGCATTGTTCATATGGATGCATCGATATTACATCTGGTCACATTTTTATGAAATGCATCATCATTGAAGCTATGAGGATTTTAAGTTGGTTCTTGCTTCTCTTGCTGTGGCTTCAAGTTATTCTTTACAACCGAAGGGACAGCGCTCCCTGCACACTGAGGCATTTTGCACTTTCCTCAAAGACAGGGCTGAGAGGACTCATTCTGTACTCCCTAAGCAATGCCCTGTTGAATCTGGTTTTAGTTAAACCCTCTTTTTGAAGTACACAACCATAATTAGATCTGCTTAGAGGAGACAGCAGGACTGTGACCCCAGATCTTTCCTCTACAAAGTTTCCTTTCAGCCCTTGCGTAAAATCATCTCCTCTCTGCCTCCCCCATCACAGCACCCCCAGCAAGGAATGCACTGGCGAGTCCCTCCGCGGTCTGTGATAATGCATTCCTCTCGGCTTCGGTCATCCTGGCACTGAGATGCTCTTGGCTGCTCTGCTGGTGATGTAATTCTGGGCCCGCATCACCTGCAAAGGAAACCGATCTGCAAGCAATAAAGCACACAGCCGTCTTGAAACAAAAATGGGAGTGTTGATGTTAGCAGGTTTTTGAAAATCTTTTGTTTTCCCTTTTTACATTTCTGCCTTTTTTTCTTTTTTCTTTTTTTTTTTTTTTTTTTGT